GATTTAGGCAGGACGCATATGAAAGACACATGCACACATGGGATATGAAAATCTCAAAGCTAGGTTGAAGAAAGAAGAAGTACCCACGAGGTCCATTTATACACCATCATTCACTATTTCAACTTACTGTCAGTGGTCTTTTTAACATAAGTCCGATTGCCAGTCGATTCCCCGCCTCAAATTGCCCCAGCAAATTTAGTCAAATTGCCCAAGGGGGTAGTCAAAATTCCCCACTATATTTAAAATGATTAAATATAGGCCATAAATGCACAGTTTTGTCAGCTTTAATATCATGTTCTTCATATAAAAGTATATACATAGTTATGAGTTTACTAATGGAACATATATAAGAAATATTACTTCCTAAAAACCTTTATATGAATAACATAATATCAAAGATGACAAAAACTATGCATTGACGGCATATATGTAATCATTTTAAATACATTTGACCAAATTAGAATGAATCACTAAATTTGCTGGGGCATTTTGTAGCTGGGGCAGTTCGACTGTTACCCATGAGATATATACTGAACATCATTGAAAACGCACCACCTGTAAATTTTGAAATATGGTAATAGGATTGTTTTGAGAGTGAAAATGAACGTTGGAAATGTTGTTAATAACACAAAAGACAATAAATAATGCTGTACAGTAAAGAACGGATTGCCCGAACACATCATGGAACACATCACATGACAACAACAAACTTCATGCACAACACACAAGAAAAGCACAATTGCATGCGTAAAACATGCTGGGTATAAATGACCGCCGGCAAAAAACCGTTCTCATTTTAGCTGTACCTCTGCAAGTAAACTATATTTTGCAATGCCAAGATTGTCACCAGAGGAACGAGAACGGGAGTTGGGCATGTTGCAGGTTGGCACATCAAGCAGGATTATTGCCAGATGATGGTTGCCATCATTCCACCATCATAAGACTTGCCAAAAGGTACCAACAAACAGGAACCACCAGGGACCGCCAACGTAGATCCCGTGTTACCACCCCTCGGCAAGATCGAGACATTGTTCGGCGCCATATTCGGGATCGTACGTTGCCGGCTGCCAGAACCGCCAAGGCTGTCCAAGGCCGACGTGGTTTGATCAGTGCTTCCACCGTCAGACACAGTCTCCGGGCGGCAGGATTACGGTGTCGACGCCCTTATGTTGGACCCATCCTGACATGGCCATGCACGCCGACGATGGGCTGAACAGCATCGTTTGTGGTTGTTACGACGTTGGCATGGTGTTGTGTTCTCCGACGAGTCACGTTTTCACTTGCGAAATGCCGACGGGCGTCTACGGGTATGACGTCGACGGGGAGAACGTTACCATCAGGAATCTGTTGTGCAAACAGATCGGTGGGTGGAAGCAGCATTATGGTGTGGGGAGTGATCAGTTATCATCACAAAACCGCTCTGGTAGTTTGTCGTGGCAGAATGAATGCCCTTTACTACCGTGACACCATTCTTCAGAACAACGTCGCTCCCTTCTTTAACCAACATCAAGATCTGCACACATTCCAGCAGGACAATGTTCGAACGCACAGTGCACGTGTTCCAACACAGTTTCTGGCAAACAACAACATTCCTCTACTTCCATGGCCTGCATTGTCACCACATTTGTCTCCCATTGAACATTTGTGGGATTCTATCAGGCAAAGCCTCTCACGTCGCCCACAGATCAACAACCTTGGGGAACTTGAGAATGCCTTGCAAGAAGAGTGGAATGCACTGCCTCAAAACATTATTCAGAGACTTATCAGTTCAATGAGGAGACGTTACACAGCTTGTGTTGCTGCTAACGGTTGTCATACACGTTACTGACTTCCAATTTGACTCCATCTTTCTTTCACAGTCAGCTGAATTAAAACTTCAATTTTGCTGGATTGGTTCTGTGTTTCTTTTCTTTACCAATCATTGGACTACAAAAGTATGTAACATTTACACCGATTGCTCATTTATGCTCTTGGAAATCCAAACTAATACAGGTGGTGCGTTTTCAATGATGTTCAGTATATTATCAAAATAATTGAGATATTTTACATTAGCTTGAAAATGTTTCGCTATAGCGTTGTTTTTTTTCAGTTTGGGGCCCTAAATGCTGCAGTCTACCTGAAACATTGCCGAATACAACGGCAAATCATGAAGTACTTGTTGCTTCCATTGCTTTCCATTTTGTCCAATTACGTCGGCATCAGACTCGCTATTTGTAAATAGTGTGTGCCATGGAAGTTTTTCTGTATTCTCATTGGCTGAAAAGATGTCATTCTAAGGCTATGACTGAGTACCATACCTATTTTCATAACCAAACACTGGGGAAACATACATTGTCCTAACTAGTATTTTATAATTCACCAGTTTTCGGGGAATAACCTATCTGCGTCGCAAATATTATCTCTCCTCGACCAGGCTGGGATCTTGTATGGAGACTTGAAACGTTATTAATGAGAACTAGGATCATAATATATTTCAACAAAACAATTCCAGTGTAATTTTTGAAGCAAATAATTTCTGTTTTCCGCCGACTGACCCTACAATCACCCATTTGACACAAAGCAACTGCAATTACATTTAAAAAAAATAATTTCTTTGGGACTGGTCAAAAATTTATAGGGCTGGGTTTGCTGGTTTGAACTGTATTACATTTTGCTCACAAATAGTAGTCTTGTTAAACGATATTGTCTATTATAAAATTTCTTTTGACGCCAAGCGGTGCCTCCGTTTCGCTTGATTCTTCTTCTTCATCTTCACTGTGTCACCGCGTGGATACGTATCGACTGGGGAATTAGCTCATACTTAAGATAAAGTGTACATACAATACGTTGACAAGACGAAGGAATACGTTGAGCTCAAGCTTCTTTAGTTACATGACAAACAAATGTACAAGACAGAAATGAGGTGAGCGGAGTTCCTGCTCAACCCCAGGGCGTTTCCTAAGAGCATCATCATCCCGCTCGTGGACGTCCCTACACAGAGAGTCGGAATACCGGACTCGTACTCCTTCACAATTTAGATTTGAGCCCCACTAAGTATATATACAGTTTTGACAACAATGGACAGGCGACGACTCACCAATGGACAGACAGAAAAACTATAGCACTTCCTTGACCAGTAGATGTGATGGCAGACACGGCCAAGGGGGATGACCCATAAAGGTTATAAATGTCATATACAGTAATTAATTGCCTGACAAGTCAATGTACAATAGGGGAAGTGATAAGGATTACATAGAATACAGATTAGCATCATATAAATAATTACAATAACGTCTCACATGTCTTGTGTACATAGTTTTTTACTTTTTAAATATTTGGACGATGGCTGTCCTGAATTAGTCCCTATAACAACTGGAAGATTGTCTGGCAAGATGTCTACGGTCTAACATCCATTTCAAAAACAGACATCAGGAACATCTTTTACTGCTTCAGAATCCATGGTCACTGTTAAGTTGTGAGGTAAAATCAAAGAGGAAGCCATCAGCAACAGGCACATATGACGTCATGTCACGTGATACCCCCTCGGCTCATTAACTGTCGGGCGTTTCCGTAATAGGCGGAAATACGAGCATGTAAAAACAAACCTTTTGCTCAATTCTAATCATGGAAGGTGAATTGTAGGTTATCCTTTAAAACGAACATATCAAAAGTTTTTTGTTTTCGTTCGTATTCTCCTTTAATGCATGAATGACTTGATAAAATTTACCACGAACTGGCTGAAATTGAATTTGTAATAATGTATATTTCTATAGAGAATGAGTTTATATAAATTTACAAGGAAAGTGTCACTTGTCTTCAAAAATATATACGTTCACCCCTAATAGGATGCGGAAACGTATTTTGCTATTTCTAAAAAATTATGCAAATATTTTTTTAAATCAACAGGTAATGACCAAATGGCCAAAATATATTAAATGAATATAAGCAATTTTTTAAATTATATATTATTAGAAAGACCTTGTAAATGCTGTTGCTATGTTATTTTACTACGTATTCTTCGTCAGCCGGTAGTTGGAGTTAACGCCGCTTGTAACAATGTTCTAGTTACATTACGCGTTATCCTTGAAATATGGTTAGTGGCACTTTTGTTTGGATTATCTCTGTACATGTTCTTTGTTGTTGATCTGTTTCTTATTTTGTTTCTTTGCGTTTGCGTTTGCGTTTCCTTGACTCTCAGAGATAACCTACCTCAAACGTTCCTATGACATGTTCCTAATTACATAATTAGAAAAGCAATTATTTTCCTGAACGATTTATGATCACAATTGAACATTTACTGAAGATATATATACTGAATAACATTAGAAACGCACCATCCATATAATACGAGACAATCCCGTCAGGCTGAAATGTACCCATGATATCTGAGCATTGTCGATGCATTTTAGTGTGGTGCGTTTCTAATGTTGGTCAGTATATGTTACAAATATATCAAGACTTACTACGTATTGCATCTATCATTTATTGACAGATTATCTTATTCTAAGTACATGAAATGTATCTGACACACGTATTTGATGGTATTGCAACGGCACTCTGTGCTGGCATACACTCATTTCTTTACGTTCACGATTTAGATAAACATCAATACCAAACAAGGTATATTCAGTCGTACTTTACTATAGTGCATCGTAAATGAAACCATCAACATGGTTGACATAGGGAGTGATCTGAATCCGTCTTGAAGAAAATATACTTGGTGCAGTGAGTGAATGGGTTAGAATTTAACGTCACCTCGGCAATATTTCAGCCATATAGTGACGAGAAATGTTTTACATAAACAATGAATTAAAGTTGCTAAATAATCAGTCATCGAAGGACAACTGAAGGTAGATCACCATACTAGGAACCATTATACTTGGTGGAAGAGAAATCCCAGGCAGAAAATACTTTAATTTGTCATGTTTAAGGCTATCCGCAGCACTTCTTGTGCTATTATTCTAACCCTTAAAAGTTAAATATATCAAGATCCAAAATTACATATAATTAATATATTTCAGCCAAATCGTGTCCACCTGACTTTCATCATGACAAAGAAGCCAACCTGTGTCTGAATCTAGATACGAATCCTAACCGTACCTTCAGCGCCAACAGATGCTCCGAAATGTTCGTAGATGCCCGTCCTGCCCAACTTGAAACAACGCAGAAACTTCAAGCAGCGGTGATCTATCTGAATCAAAAAGGTTATGGATTTATATTAATTGCATGTTATAATACTGTTGATGCACCTCTCTTGGATCTATATATATATTATATAATTGGATTTACCTCAAACAGCATTTACTACCGATGGTGGTTATATAAAGGATATATACTGGACAAAATAAGTTAGGGATATTGGTATTTTAATGATTGATATGTCATCAGTGTATCAATGAATGAATAGATCATTATTCATAAATTCAAAATGTTCACATATCCCTTACTATTTTTGTCCAGTATATTAAAAATTGATGTGAACGACAACCATAAACGAAGTGATATAAATGTAATATGGCGAATTGCGATGGCTATATTCTCAACTGTTTGATTGGCACTCTAGGAGAGTCAATAACGAAGCATACGACTTTCAGGCATAGAAACGTCTTCTTTATTGCATGGAGCGACTGTCTGAATCCCGCACACTGTCTCCCTCACTGAATATCGTAGCTATTATGTATTACACTTGGAGCATTAACTATTCAACTAGCACCCAGCCAGCTTGTTTTTGCAATTGAGTCGTTCCGTTGTTTTTTTAACTCTCCACCTGGTCTCACCTGTCGTAAATGTTAATCTTCTGCTTGTCACTTGGTTGCAATCATTCTATCGAGATAATAGTGCAAGAATCTTCGAAAGTGTAGTAGGGCCGCGGTAGGAGTTATTAATATACTATCTCCTTCGTAGTCCTTAATATCTCCTAGTAGGACATACTATCTCCATAATATCTCTTGCCATGCTTCATATTGTACTGAGGGTGAAAATCTGGAAGAATTTAAAGGAACACTTGAATTTTCATGTTTTCCCTTATTCGTTTCCGTAAGTATATACTGAGGGATAGAGAGATAGAGAGAGAGATAGAGAGAGAGAGAGAGAGAGACAGAGGAGAGAGAGAGAGAGAGAGAGAGAGAGAGAGAGAGAGAGAGAGAGAGAGAGAGAGACCCGAATGTCTTTTGATATCAAATCTATCACCATGTTTTATCAACGAGTGTTGATATATTTGATATCAGAAGACACGAGGATGAGATTCTATTTATCATCCAAAATCACTCTTCATTAGTTTTCAATGAAAAATATACATCTCTGAACACGATTCTGCCATTAGACTTGCAGTGCTGCGATGTTTTATAGCATTGTGACGTCATCAAGTTCATGACGTCATAGCATTGTCAGGGCATTGTACAAAATCTTCTGTCAAAACGATATCTCCTGGGAGATATCGTATGATCTCACACAAGCAATATCTCCCGTGGAACACAGTGAAAATATTGCTGACAAACAGTTTCTGTGTCGACTTAGCTACTACACTCGACCAGCTTCTGAATCGTGGGATTAAGCACGCACAGATTGCCACCAATAGTGTAAGACAGGTCTGTGCGGCAGAGGTAAGCACGCAGATTATAACCCATGTGCAACCACCTCTGAAGTATCCTACACATAACAGTAAAGTGTAACAGACAAACTAAATGCTACACGTAATATTAGAGCGAATTGAACGCAAGGCAGTAAAGTATAATAGTCGGTCCAACACATGACAGTATTGTGGAAATGGTAGGACTGTAGCTCAATTTCAATCCAATCGAAGCGATAGAAATATGACACATGACAGTAGACTCTAATAGTGAATGAAACACATGACAGTATACTCTAATGGTGTATGAAACACATAACAGTAGACTCTAATAGTGAATGAAACACATGACTGTAGCCTCTAATGATGAATGAAACACATGCCAGTAGCCTCTAATGATGAATGAAACACATGACAGTAGACTCTAATAGTGAATAAAACACATGACAGTAGCCTCTAATGGTGAATGAAACACATGACATTAGACTCTAATAGTGAATGAAACACATGACAGTAGACGCTAATAGTGAATAAAACACATGACAGTAGACTCTAATGATGAATGAAACACATGACAGTAGACGCTAATAGTGAATAAAACACATGACAGTAGCCTCTAATGGTGAATGAAACACATGACAGAAGACTCTAATGGTGAATGAAACACATGACAGTAGACTCTAATAGTGAATGAAATACATGACAGTAGCCTCTAATGGTGAATGAAACACATGACAGTAGCCTCTAACAGTGAATAAAACACATGACAGTAGAAGCTAATAGTAGTATATACAATGGGGGTTCTGGATCACTTTCAACAAAGCCTCTGCAAAGCCTTATTTGGTAAATAAGGCTTTTGTCGGGCCCTTAGCTCTTGCTACCATTTCCCCTACTATGAAAAAGTTTGGGCCGATAGCGGTTCTGGATCACTTTCAACCAAAGCCTCTGCAAAGCCTTATTTCACAAGTAAGGCTTTGGTCGGACCCTTAGCTCTTGCTACCATTACCCCTACTACAAAAGTTGGGGGATGCGAACGCACCTCCTAGCCGCGCTACCGGGGGCATGGGGAAGTAACGGTATTGCCCCATCCAATACTGGCTGGCCGCCTAACTATGCCATGCTTTACCCTCGATGAAACAGTTTAATGTGAATCGCCTATGATCTCTTTGGTGTTTGTAATAAAGGCTTGCCGGGCTTTTTTCACCCCTTGTTCTATGTACTTTTTTTTCTCGTCCTCGCTGATAGTAGACTTACGAGACTTGGATCGAATCTCTTGTTTCATTTTGTTATATTTTGTGAGTTCAGAGAGGATTGAACTAAACTCCTCCTCTGAGATCTTACTGTCAGTGAGTGCCGTAGAAATACGCTCACTTACTGTGTTCAGCTTTGCTTCAGCCAGAACCCTGATCTCGTCGTGTTTCAATGCCTTACGATGCAGTCTACGTGATGCCAACTTAAGCACCAACCCTAACACCCCTGCCACCCCAGCTGTTATTTCAATACCTAGCACTATAGGTGCAGCCACGATGGTAGCTAACAACCCAACACCTGCCGCTCCTAGCCCCATGCTGGTTACCATAAGGGCAGCGTCAGCCCCGTCCACGATATTGAAAGCTCTATGGTACTTTTTACATAGTGCTTTCCGCGTGTCGCGGTCTTGCTCTAGTTGGCGTTTTACATCACATAACTGTCTCAAGCGGAACCCGTCTACGGTTTCCAGGGTCTTCGCTACTTCCTCTACGACTGGGTACAGCCCCATCCTATAATATATATTACAAAAGATATTTTAATTGAGTATCAGTTAACCTTCGGCTAATGTACTTAAAGCTGATATAACTTAGATTAATGTGCACGTAAAAAAACGGGGTCTTAACTCTACTTCCATTAAGGAGACGAACTCCATCAAGGCTTGCTACAGGTCTGTTTCCTGATACCTTAGTAATACGGCAACGTTTGCTATTACACCTGGCTTCCCAGTTTATGACCATATCAGCCATAATGTAAATATACTTCCCAGGCGCCGGGTTATCTCCGAGATAGACGTCTATGATGAATGTGTAGTTTTCCGCGACATTTCTAAAGACCTCTTGGTGATCAAGTAATTTGATCTCTGTCTTCACCTTCTCCCTGGAAGTTAACATGTTACCCGAGTGGTCTGGTATTGGTGCGATATATATATTACCTTCTGGATATAGCACTCCATCTACAAGTAGGCCTTTGGGTTCCGGAACGAACGATCCTATAATTATGCCATTGTTCTTAAGCTCGAGAGACAGTACCATCTTGTCTCAAGGTGATATAAGGTGCAGTGAGGGTTAAGTTGAGTAACCATTCAGGCTCTTTAAAATCTGATAACGACACCCGCCTATACACGTTGTCTTTGAAGTGTAGGATGTATAAGGTGTCTTCCTCACCAGGCTGGTCGAATCCCTCTAGGCCCTCGAGTGTGGTCTTGGGTAGATGATCGGCCATTGCTGCCCGCCTATACACGTTGTCTTTCAAGTGTAGGATGTATGAGCCACCTTCCTCACCAGGCTGATCGAATCCCTCCGTGTCCCCTAGGTCGTTAAGCGTAGTGTTGGGACGATGACTGGTCATTGCTATAATACTATTACGATATAATTTCCAACTGGTTTTCTGATAATAGTTCAGGGTTAACTTCACCCCATGAAGTGTATGTTGTCAGGTAGGAAGATCTTGGTTAGTGATATAGTGTTTTCCACGATCACGGTGACACCCTGCAGACTGGTGTTGGAGCCGACACCCACCCGCACGTAAACTGTGCAAACGTGATACTGGTGTCGTTTCACCCACCCAAGTTTGATCCCCTTCACGATCTCGACATCATTCCCCGATGGTTCCCCTAGGTAGACTTTGATGATCAGTGTTGAGTTCGCCGGTAGACTCTCTAGTATCCTGACCACGCCTTCAAATTCAGACACCAACTGCAATGTCACGTTTTGCATGCCCGCTTTACTCGATAGCATGTGGGCTGCCATACTGGCGACTGGGCTGATGACTACGCTTACGTCTCTGAGTCGGGACGTAAGCCACGAGCAGGGTTCCGCTGTTAACGACTTTGTTTAGGTGGTTGTCTTTGTTATCCGTGAACACGTAGGGGAGCCGAGCCTAATATTGAGAAACCAGTCGTCTTTATCTGGTATCAACACTCCACTTGTCATCTTCGGTGAAGACGAGCATATATGGCTTGTTTCGGGCGACGGTAGTGCTCTCAACATCGCCTAAGTCGAACAGTTTGCCCCCGAACGATGGGTATATTATCCAATTATCATTACCGGTGGTGACTAGGGTGTACTTAGTGTTGACTACCGCCTTGAGGTATCTACTATATCACCTAGGGCTCCACCGAGGGGACTTCAACGCGTTTGTAAATGTTGTTTTTCAGTTGCAAGGCGCATAATTTACCATCTACTCCGGAGCGCCGAAACCGCTGCGTGTCCCCGAGGTCGGAGATCCCCACATTGACGCATTTTTCACCCCGGCCCTTGTGCGCTGGTCATTTTATGTGAAGCGCTAAGCTGAGGTATCCTATATTCACGGGATTATGATTTATATCTAACACCGATATTATCAGCTCAGGTATGTTGCCCTGAGTCAACCTCTTATACTGCCGCGGTGAAAACGACTCGGTTCTACCGTCGTTGTATTTCTCCGCTTTCACCGCACGGCTCTCAGTATAGTGGAAGGGTGACCCCTTGAATGTTGTTGTACGCTGTGCTCACCTGACCTAGATGAATGTACAGCCTCGGTACGGTACTAGGTCGGGTAACTTCGTGCCTGTGACGGTTGTTGTTGGTTTTATCTCGCCAGGTGATATACCGAAAGTGTCTCGCCAATGGCCGGCCGAGCCTCAAGGAGTTTCTTCCGTTGTTGATTAACACCACTGTGCCGCTTTGAGTCGTTCATCTTGAGTTCGGCTCCCAGGGTTTGAAGACCTCATCGCTTAGCGAAAGCACACGCTGTAGTAGCCGCCAGTTATCTGGCTGCGAAGTTCCACTAACGAACAGCTTATTGTTGCTGGCGCTTGATGTTAGTCCATTGCGTAGGTAGGTGATATCGCAGAGTGCGACTTCGAAGTTGACCGGACGTATTATCGATCGCTAAGCGCCAGCTGAACGGCCTCACCGCCGTTATTCCTGGAAGTGTTATGTACATGTTAGAGTATATATGCTCATTATATAATAGTTTTAAAATGTATTCCCAAGGAGGAGCATCCTCGCAAGGAGTGTCTTACTCCCCTGGTAATTCTAAACTGGACATAGATTTCACCCATGAAGATCGCGTTGCTGATGGATGTATTTCAACGCCCAGCTTTTAGATGTGTTCAGCCTGTATAAATTTTCGGTGACTAACGCTAAGGTAGTTCATGCTTGGTTCAACAACCCGATGCAGTTCTGGCAGAATCAACTCAACTTCGCCGTGGTGCGCTACAACGGGTGTGGTGTGACATTGACCGACACTCGCGGGGACCGCTGAGTCAGTCTGTGTTCAAGTTCCACGGTACTACCAGGTCAGGCGTATCCTTAAAGAAATCAGCGTCCCGCCCCCACAGGACAATGCATGGAACCCATTAAACAACAAGTACGATAGGCGAGCCTACGAACGTATTTGCAACGAATTCGAACTAAACCCGAAGACGGATTGGCGTTTGCCGGGCCGAACCACGGGTTGGGTATCCCCATCGTTCACCAAATGCCCTTTGTGGAAGCCAGCAAACTGCTGGTGAAAGATTGGGGATACAAGTCGTATCATCTCTTCACAACCAACGAGTGGATGACCGTTACATGGCTTTCAATGCCAACAAGGAGTACAGAGTCTGGAGGTTTGATCAGGAGGGGCAGCGGATGACTGGAAAAGTTTATGTTGGACACGCCGAAGGGGTTTACTCGTGCCGCACTGAACGCTTAAACGACTCGATTCGAACGTACGTGTGGGCGGTGTTGCGCGCGCAGACGCAAACGCGTTCCAGTATTATCGGTAAGGGGACTGCTTACGACGCCAGAAACAGTTCGTTGTCAACGTAGAGGATGCTATCAATGCTCCAGTTGATCTCCCGAGTGCCATCAAACGCTACCAAGACGTGTTGGAATATGCCAGGTCGAAAGTCGACTACGTGTTCGATGTGGGGCTGTACATGGCCCGAGTGATATGCAACTGAGAGTAAAGTGGTGGGCTACAACAACGAAATAGTTGTAGCCACGGCGGACCAAAAGTTGGGCGTCAACCTCGATGTCAACGTCCCCCACGTCCCACCACCCACGACCGGTGAAACGGGTATAGTGGCGCCACCCCCGGAGCCTAGGGTTCAACCAACGCCCCTGTGGGGGTGGCCCCACAGCCTGCAGCCCGGCAA